AGTATATTTCAATGAATTAAAAAAAATCCTTTTTTATAACCTTCACCTTCGTAATGTTATTCAGTTTGTAATTTCTGTAATATAATTATCCACCCCTGTACACCCTGTCCGTCTGTCTGTCCGTCTATCAGAATGTTTGTTAAATCAGTTGTCTGAAGACCCCAAATATCTTTGGGATCTCAATCTTCTCTTCGTTGAAAATCTGCAACATCGGTTGCTGTAGAAATTTCAAACGAAATGACAAACTTATATACATACATATGTATACCCTTCTCACTAGTACTTTCAGAGTTTCCTAAGTAATTATGTTATTTCCTTCCATTATGATTACCAATTAAGTTCTATCATTTGACTTGTATTATTTTACTTTGTTTTTGCTGTTGTTGTTGTTCCTGTTGCTACTTTTCGTTAAGTAAAAAGTTCTTGAGAAACTGTTTTTTTTTGCTCTTCCCATCTACACTTTACTTTTCTTTAACACACTTATTCATACTTTATGACACTTGATGGGTTGCTAGAAAAATGATTTTCCTTTTTATACTCCTTGAGCAATAAGTAGGTGGTGCGGCGGTGATAGTGAATTCCAATACATTATGAAGGTGTGTTAAGTTTCTTAAAAGGTTTGTTGACCTTAAGTAAGAAATAAAGATTGATAGTTGAGAATGTTAGGCTTGTCACTTGTCAATAAGTTTCATTAAGAAACAATATTTGTTTTAGTCTCTGTCTCAGAATTGAAATTAAAACCATTAAATCCAATCAACCTGTGTTACAAACATAACCTTTGGTGTAATGTACCACATTGTCGCGTCTTACCAACCTAAATTTATAACGTTTTATTTTCTCCTCTCTCTTGTTTAAATCAATTAATAATGAAATAACTAAGAATTTTCTTTTTTAATTCCGCGAAACTTAATGACTTTTTGTAATAAGTTTTCTTCTTTACTGTACTTGTAATCTCTTTTACTCTCACTCACTGTCTCCTCGAGTGTCCTGGTGCATTAATAGAATTTGCCAAAGTTTCAATAGGAAAACATAAGCATAATGATGATAAGAAGAAAAAAATTGCAACAGTGGGTCAGACGAATGTTAACAACGTTTTAAATTAAATACATAATATAATTACACCATTTCATTGGAAAGAAAAAAAAAGTATTTTCAAATATTTAAAAGTTTGACTTTTGACCTTTTTTCTAGAGATTAAACTAATGCTTTTGGAAATATAAACATAAAATATGGAATTTTGAGTTTTTTAATTTTAAATTAGAGTTACATATACTTAGAGTTACATTTGGAATAAACAAAAAGAAATTAAGAAAATTATATTTTTCTAATTTTGCTTTGTATAATTTTATTTTCATAGACTAGTCTTCAAAGACTTTAAAAATATACGCCTAACTAATTCTCATAAAAATTTCAGCTTTTCTTGGAAATGGTGTAGCATAGTAAAATAGAATTTTATTAACTATAAAGACACTGTACTTTACAATCTACATTGTGTAAGTGCATTGAAATTTATACATTTAACCATAAAATACAACCTCACAATTACACTGAAACATTCTTGTTGTTTTTATAGTTGTAACACTTGGTCTTTTTTTTTGTTCTTGACACTAACTTTTGCACAATGGGATAGAGAAAAGTTTAAAAAGCGAATTTTGTTAGTTTGATGAAATTCGTTAAAAAATACAGATGGAGGAACAGTATCTAAAAAAAGATGGCTTTCGATTAAAAATGCATTAAATAATAAACTTCTTATTTTATCTTCTTTGAAAGTAGAATAAACTTTTTTAAGCAGTTTTTAAATGTGAAACTTCTCTAATGTCTGATAGAATTATTGATGATTTGGATCCCGAAAATATCTGAGAATTTCGGTAGGAAAATTTACATTCCTACAAAAGTTGCTTATGTTGAATTTCATAACTGTATCCATATTTTTAAGCCGGTAATAAGCGGTATAGTCATTTTCTGAAGTGGTCCTTCTATGGGGGTAGGGTCAATTATGAAACGATCCTCATAAAATTTGGTGGACCGATTCTGGATTATATACATCTTGCTTATGTCAAAATTATTCGCCGTACTCGTATTTTTGTTCCAGTAAAGGGGACCTTATAGGGGGGAAAGGGGCAATTTTGGACCGATCCTCATTTTATTTGGTAGAAAGTTTTTAGCTCGTAAGGATCTTATTTGTGTCGAATTTCATCGTAATATTCGTATTTTTAACCCTTTTTTATTGAGCGTTGAAGTTATTTTCTGAAGGGAACTTTAAATGGTCGGCAGGGTCAATTATAGACCGACCCTCCTAAAATTAGTAGAGAAATTTTGGATCTTATGAAACTTAATTATGTCGAATTTCGTTGATATATTCGTATTTTTAAGCCAGTATTATGCGTTAGTCATTTTCAGAAAGGGACCTTATATGGGAGGTAGGGGGTCAATTACTTTTTGTTGGTCATATGAAACTTATTTATGTCAAATTTCGTCGCTATATTCGTTCTTTTATAACAGTTATGTCTGCTTAAACTGTATTCCGAGGGGGCACTTGCATGGGGGCTAGGTGAAAACATTGGTCTATATTGCTCATTTCCAATACCAAATAAACTGTAGCAATAGAAAATATTTGTGCAGAATTTCAGCTTCCTAGCTCTTTCCGTTCGGACTCTATCGTGCTTTCAACAGACAGACAGACGGACGGACATGGCTAGATCGTCTTAGAATTTAATAAGGACCCAGAATATATATACTTTTGGATCTATAACCAATATTTCGATGTGTTGCAAACGGAATGACATAATCAATATACCCCCCGTTTCGTTTTTGATGGTGGGTATAAAAATAAGCAGTTGTGTCACCTTAGATGACCCGATCATAGGTACTGAATCAGAAATTGATTTGTTTTCGTTTTTCCGCCACAGGATGCTTGAAATAAATCTCTAAATGTCGGCATCAAAATAATTATTATTACAATAAGACTATACTCCAACGGTTTGAAGTTTAAATTTCTTATCATAGTCAAATAAATTACTTGTTAACGAATACAGTCAACTTTTTCATCAGTTAAGGTTAACATTTATGTAACCACTAGCATATACAAAAAAGAAGGATATTTTTTAATAACTGGATAATACGTAAATAAACACTTAATATCTTAATTAAAGCTTGATAATTCTATTTTAAACATTTTCCAAACCATTGTACCCAGCAGGCTAAGAGGGAAATAAAAATTACAACGATTAATAGGTGGTACAATTATGTTCTGTTCATACTTTTTGCAACACATCAAACATACATACATACACTCCAGGACCCACTAATCTTACGTGTGTTTAAGTTGGTGTGGAGAATTTTTTAATTCGAAAAAATAGCAGGAGGTCTATAGTCAGCTTCTAATTTCTCCTCTTCAACATTATCATTTAATACATTACCACATTGTTCCTAAGACCATGTACACGGTGAAGGTGGTGGTGATGGCAACAGTAATAAGAAAACGAAAACCCACTGGCATGACCAAAGCGATAATAATAAATTCCCGTTACAAACGAGAACAAAGTGTTGACAGGATTATAAGGAAACCACTGTTGGAGTTTAAGAATGTCGAGAAAGTACCAAAGACAGCAGAGTGCAGAAAGAAATCACAAAAAAAAACTTAAAAGTGGCACACAAATGTTTTCTACATAAAAAAAAAAGAATTGAATTGAAGTAGACTGAATGAATTGTAATGAAATGAGAATGAGCAGCCTTAAAAGAACTGTTAAGAAGCAGTGACAGAAATAAGGAAAAATTAACAAAGGAAATGTATTTTGCACAATTCTATAGTTCTAAAGCAAGAACTTATTTTTTTTTTTGCAAAATGAAAAAGAAATGTACTAAAGATAAAAAACCGGGGAACAATTAACTTATTAAATGGGATTCCGTCTTAACTTTTTGTCTTTTTCTCCGCTTTCTTTCTTCTTTTTTTGTGACTTCAACTTCCGTTTTTAGCCAGAAACAATGGTAGTTGTGTGATTTAGGCTTAAATTATTATTTTCAGTTTCCTTTTATTTATGATGATTTTCTTTTTTTTTATTGTTGTAATATTCAAATCAAATAAAAGAGACTGAAGAAATAAATCGTAAAGTCGTTTTGTTAATTTGTTTAAAATTATGGTAAATTTTTTTTTTTTTTTTGGAAAAAGTATCCAAGTAGTTTGAATAATGAATTTCAATTTTATCATAAAAACAATATAAATATCAATGTAATTTTTAACCGGGATTTTGTGTAGAGCGCAGTAAAGTGTTTAGATTGTTATATTATTTTTCAGCGCTTAAAACTAATTTATTAAATATAAATATAATGGTTCTTATATGATGCTAAGAGAATATGTCCGTCTTTCTGTTTGTATGTCTGTCCATCCGTCTGTCTGTCCGTCTGTCCGTCTGTCTGTCTGTCCGTCTGTCTGTGTGTCCGTCTGTTAAGATCTGGCTGAAGTCCAAACGAGAGAAGCTAGAGTGTGAAAAAATGATCAAAAATAGGGCAGAACTATTGAACGAACAGATTCATATGTATGTATGTAGAGCATACGTAGAGGACAATGAAACTCTGCCCAGGCTTTCGTCGAAATTAAATCAAAATGTTATTCCAGATATTACATTCCTCAAAAATCTTCATAACTTCTAATGGCTTACCACCCTAAAATTCCTTTTTAAATATAATATTTTTCCAATTAAATACATACAAATTTAATTTATTCTCTTTTCAATTACTTTTATTTTGTTTTGACATCTCTCCCACTCACCATTCAACTAATTAGCTAAATTGATTTGAAATTTATTAAGCATGAAATTTACAACTAAATTTTGTTATTGCGGCAGTAAAACTAATTGAAAAAAATAGTAATTTAAAATAAATTTATTTATGTATGTGTATATGTATCTACTTTTTTTTTATTCATTCTTAATTCATTTATAACAATGTTTTTTACATGTCTAACTGTTATTACTTTTTTTCTTCTTCTAATTTCTTTGCAGTTCAACTTTTAGTTAAAACACAAAAAGAAACTAAGGAAAATATTGGAAAATACAAGCATTTTAGTCACTTGTAAAAGCAGACATTTTGAAATGGCGCCAAAATTGACGCCATTTCCGCTAACAGCAGCAGCAAGAACCAGTAGCTGGCTTAATATGAAAATAATTACAACAATAATAACTGCTATTTTATTATTAAAAACTCAACAAATTTTAGCACAAGGTAAGTTTTAAAATAAATTTTTTGAAATATACATTTATAAAACAAGTAAGAAAGTATAGTCGGGCATGGCTGACCATAGTATAGCCTACACTATGAGTACATTTTAAAAATTATTTATTTTTCATAAAGAAACCTTTATGTTCAATTTTACCTTCCGAATTGATGAACAATTTCCTAAAAGGAAATTGTTCACCTATGTTAGGGTCAAACATAGGCCGATCCTCATAAAATTTCGAGAAGGGATATATTTTTATATAGAAGTTAGTTGTTCTGAATTTCATTGCGATACTTATGGTTATAAGTCAATTTTGGACGTTTATAGGGGATTTCGTATGAGGGCTCGGGTCAAATAAGGGGCGATGATTGGCAGCATCATTTATGCTTATATAAAACTTAGTTGTGCCGATTTCTGGAGAGATAGAAGTATATTTGACGTAGTTAAGACATAAGAAGCCCAAATCGGGAGGTCTAGTTGTATGGGGGCAAGGTGAAATAATGAAATATAGGTTCTGCAGCCAAATTTCGAATCGATTTAGCGAACGCGAACGCCAGTCTGTTCGTCCTTGTAAAAGTTGTAACAAACTTTGCCACATATTCCCTTCATTATTTCACCTAGCCCCATACAATTTGATCCTTTATCTATTAGTTTTCAGAATATATGTACTATATAATCTACATATAAGGACCCAAAATTATACTATTGAAATTAATCATAAATTTATTGTATTGTGCAGCAGTATATTAATTAAAAATGTTAATTAAATTAAAAAGTAGTTTATATTGTTCGAATTATTAAATTAAATATAATAAATATATATATTTTTTTAACAAAATTATTTACAAATGCGTAAAACGTTTTATGGTGTGTTGGTTTTTACCACAAAAATAAACGTAAATTTTATAGTTAAAACCACAAAACTACATAAATTACTAAAAGAAAAAATATATTATTTTATAAAAAATTTATATATAAATAAAAAGTTTAACACTTTGTTGACAATATTCATAAACAAAATTTGTATTTGATGAAAGTTTTGTGAAAGATAATTTCCATACAAAATTTTATACAAATTTTATTATAAAATAAAAATTTGATTATGAATAAGACCTTTAGTCTATTATTAAGACCAAGGTGGGATCTCAAAATGTTGTTTATTTCGAATCAACTGAGAATTTAAGAATATATGAATAAGAAATATCAAAAAAAATTCCTGGAATATTCTCGAAAATTTTTTTTTATATCAGAAATTATTAATAGAAAATAACCAAAAAAAACGTTTAAGAAACTTTAAGAAAACATTGCAAAATCGCAAAATTAATATACATACGTATACTCTAATATTTTGTTTTTAAATATTACAAACATTTCAATTAAATTCACGAGAAGCTATTTCACCAACTCAGTAATGGGAAATACTTAGAACTATTAAATCTATAAAACAAATGAAATGTAAATTTTTAATAAAGCAAAATTTTAAATTGAAATTTATAATGAAACTGTTAATGAAGGAAAATGGTAATTTTAAATTTAATAACACATTTTTTTAAATTCACTCAAATTACATTGAAAACCCTTAAAAGTATGCAATGATTTTAATTCGACAACAAGAAAGATTCTTGGAATATTCCTGAAAAATAATTAAAACAAAAATATCTACATATATATGAAGAAATTATAAATAATTAAATGTTTCATTAATAAATTATTTCAAATAAAAATTTGAAATAAAACATATTTATATTGAAATATTATAGGTATCTATATCACTTACTTCTTCTTTTAGCCTAGGTACAAGTAAATTTCAAAACATACCTGAAAATAGAAAAATAATAAAATTGTATAAATAAATATTTAAATATAAAATATATTTTTTTAAGTTATCGTTATTTTATATAGTAGAATGTATATTTTCTATTCAGTTGCACTCTATAAAAAATTGAATTGCTGTTTTTTTTTAACTATTTTAAAATGCAATCAAATACATTTTACGGATGCTATACCTTAACTAAAAATTGCATACAAAATATAAAAATACTAAAATATAGGTAAAATAACAAAATGGGAATATATAGTATACACATATTTGGTAATAGAGATATTTTTTCAGCATGTATTATAAAATTCTTTTTTTTTAGAATATATAAAAAAACAACAAAAATTTATTAAAAATATATTCTTTAATAGTAAAATATTTATAGATTTGTATGTAACTTGGACCCTAACAATTTTAAAATATGCATTGTTTAATTGCTTTAAATTGTAATAAAATTTGGTCACCAGAAAAGCTTTAATAAATTAATTATAATTTTTTAATCGAGAATATTATCAGTTTTTGTGTCAGTTAATAGTAGAAACAATTGGCATCGTAGGGTTATATGTTTAAACTATATTGCTCATTTTCAACACCAAACAAATCTTATCAATAGAAAATAATTGTGCAAAAGTTCAGCCCTCTAGCTTCCTATAGTGATTTCAACCGACTGACGGACGGAAGGACGGACATGTCTAGATCTTCTTGGAATGTGTATTAGGGTAATAACTATTTTTGGGCGGTAAAATGCCAACACTGTTCTGATAATAAAACCCAAATTTATAGGTAAATTTAGTTAAAAACAGAAGTATATTTGACGTAGTTAAGAGTCCAAATTGGAAGGACTGGTTGTATGGGGGCTAGGTGAAATAATGGTCTGATTTTCACCATTTTCAATAGGTAACCATTTCATTCTGCCGAAAAACACGTATGGTCCACGTATTTTATCAAAATATCTTGAAAATTGTGGCCTATAGCTTGCGCACAAGGTTTACTTTGACAGCCAGCCGGATGGGCATATCTTAATCGGCTCAGAAAGTGTTTCTGAGTCGATCGGTATACTTTAAGGTGGGTGTAGGACCAATCAGCACAAACGCATAATACCCTCCCCACTTTAGTGGTACAAAAATTACTAAAAGTAATTACCCTAATGTATATGTGGGCAATTTCGTGACAAGTGACCCAACTTTTAAAATCAGATATATATATATATATATATATATATATATATATATATATATATTTATATATATATATATATATGGTGGATCTACGACCAATATTACGATGAGTTACAAATTGATTGACAAAATCAATATACCCCCATCTTTTTTGAAGGTGGCTATAAAAAAGGCTGTCGGTATATAATTTGCCATCAATATCTTTAGTATATATATAAATAAGTCTGTTAAACTTTTTCGGATCGGTTTTTCTTGACCTGAACAGAATTAGTTTCATATATAGAAGATTAAAGATAAAGAAAATATTAAATGACAGTTCACTCATTAGGGATACACAATTTAATAATCCACAAAATACAATTAGATATGAGTATGGTGGAGAGTATGTAAGATTCATAGCCGAACTTGTGACGGAAAAAACAGTCAAAAATTACGACCGATAGTTTAAAACTGTGAACAAAGGTAGGGTAAATTTTTTTAAATTTAAATTTTAATTAAATTTTAATGTCAATAACTCTTTGAAATCTAAGGAAAAAAATAAAACAGTATCCGTTAAAAAATTACACTTTCACTTTGTGTCCCCTAGCGTTTTTGGGGTACATTTTCAAAGTTATTACGCCCATCGGCATAACTACAAGAGCAGCCGTTTGAAAATACATAAGATTTCTTTCCAAAAAATTCCATTCTGTTTCACTGTTTATTGGTTACTATTTTAACTGTAATTGTACCGAATAAAACTTTAATTTATTAGCCAGTTTTATTCATTTTATCAACATTCTCATATTCGTTTTGGTTTTATAATTTATTCAGAATTTTATGAAGTGATATATTAAATTCATTAAAATTTTTTATGATGAACATGTTTTTCCAAATTAATTGAATTGTTGCGGTAAAATTACATACATATGTATGTATGTACGTTAAAAAAAAAAAGGATAAACAAATATTAGCTACAGTAAAAAGTGGTTTCTTAATTATAGTTAATTAGGGAAACTAATTTGAAAAAAACTATTAAAATTTACTAGAAATAACATATGCAGAAGCAAAATGATATTAATGTTCTCACCGAAAGTGTTGTATATTTTTAGGAGTATAAGATACCGTTTCTCAAAAATTTTGTCCTATCCGGGAGCCTCTATGGGAGCCTATCCGGAAAAAATTTGTGTCGAATTTTATCAAGATAACTTTATTTGACAATGATATATGTGCGTTTAAGTGATTTTCGGAAGTGGACCTTATATGGGAGCTATGACCAATTATGAGCCTATCCGGAAAAAATTGCGTAGAGTAACTCATATAAAGACAAAATATATTTGTGTCGAATTTTATCAAGATAGCTTTATTTGACAATGAGATATGTGTTTTTAAGTGATTTTTGGAAGTGGGCCTTATAAGGCAGCTATGGCCAATAATGGACCGATCGGTAAAAAAATTTGGTGAAATGATTTGAATGTATACAAAACATATTTGTGTCATATTTTATTTCGATAGCTTTAGAATTCAATGAAATATATGCGTTTAAGTGATTTTCGAAAGTGGACCTTATATGGGAGCAATGACCAATTATGGGCCTAAGCGGAAAAAATTTAGTAGAGTTATTCATATTTAAACAAAATATATTTATGTCGAATTTTATCACGATAGCTTTATTTGACAATGAAATATGTGTTTTTAAGTGATTTTCGGAAGTGGGCCTTATATGGGAGCTATGACCAAAAATGGACCGATCCGTAAAAAATTTGGTAGAATCATTTGTATGTGTACAAAACATTTTTGTGTCGAATTTTATCCCGATAGCTTTATAATTCCATGAAATATATGCGTTTAAGTGATTTTCGGAAGTGGACCTTATATGGGAGCTATGACCAATTGTGAACCGATTGAGATCTACGTTGTCAGTATGATTTCTGTTTAAATTATATTTGCATGTACAGAATTTTGTGTTGATACCGATATATTTGAGGAAGTTATTAACGATAAACTAATTTCCGGGAATATATACCTTTGT